GCCGGGCGTCTGGGTGCCTCCGGGCCCCGGGGCTGGCTTCCCTCTGGGGGTTCGATACTTGTTCTTGCGACTGTAGAGCAGGTTCCTCTGGAAGAGGCGAGGCAGGCGGCCATGGAACAGCAGGACAGCCAGCACCATCCCTGCAAGGCTGGAGGTCAGTACAGGGCCCTGGTTTGCTGCCCCCCGCAACCAGGCCTCTGTGGAGGGGCGCAGGTCCAGGGGCCTCGCCTGGACCGGGGTCTGGCTCTTGCCAGCACCCCCCCCAGAGGTGGGCAAGTCCTTGGGAAGCGAGAGCCCCCAGGCTGGAGCCTGTGCTCCGGCCAGGACCGGCCCAGCCCACCAGCTGCCTCCAGCCTCTCCTGGGACGTCCCCTGTGCCCGCGTGTGCCATGCTCTGCTTGCTGCACCTCCTTTACTCCTTGGGGTACCCACTGGTCCTGCCAACTTCGAAGGGGCAGACGCAGGAGAGGAAGGCGGGCGCCCCCCGCTGTAGGTCCGCGCCTCGCCGCCGGGGGCGCTGCTTGATCGCGCCTTGTCCCTGGGCGCTCCAGGCGGGAGGTGGCCGCGGCGCAGCGGCCTGTCCGGCTTTTCCCGAAACCTCTCACACGACGGAAAAGGCTGTCGGGAGTGGCGCCAGCAGCCCGCGACGGGGGCGGCACACAACCTTGGACACGAAAGCAGGCGGGCGACACACCCGTAGGTGGAGCCAAGGGGCAGCCGCGTGGACGCGGGGCCTCTCCCAAGCCCAGGACAGCGCCTGTGCGCCCCAGCGCTCGGCTCCCAGCTTCTCCCCCTCTGCCCAGAAGGCTCCAAGAGGTACCTCTGTAAGAGCCCCGCCCGGCCCACGGCCGGTGTGCAGCTGGAGGCTGGACTGCTTGAAAGGAGCCCCCCAAATTCGTGTCCTCCCTGGCACCCCGGGGCACGACGTGAGTGAAATAGGGTCTTCACAGGTGTAAGTAGCTAAATTAAAAGTTCATGTCCGAGTAGTCCGAAACCTAAATCCACCTCAACCGGGACCTATGAGGGCAGCAAGGGGCCGCACCACCACGCCCCGCGACAGCAGCCGGCTCGCCCCACCACAAACCCACGCCCCGCCATGCTCTCCGCGGCCCCGCCCGAGGCCCGCCCACAGCCCCGCCCATGTAGCCTGTCCACCCCCTGCCCTCTCTGGCCGCTCCGCGGCCCTCTGGGGCTCCCTGGCGCCTTACCTCTCTGGCTCCAGCCCCTCCACCACAACGCACAGACCCTGATGGGCCACTCGTGGCCACCGCCAGGGTGGTCAGGGTGGGACTTTCCCTGCGGGGTCTCCACCTGGAACCCAGGTGGAGCAGAACCCCGAGTTCCCGTGCAACCCCAGTGGCCTCACCTGTCAACGGGCCCAGCCAGTACACCTGGGCGTACTCCAGCCAGGTGTGTCCTGAGCACTGGAAGGTGACCCAGGCCGCCAGGGCAGGGTTGAAGAAGGCCGAGGTGAAGGGCCCAGCTGCCAAGGGAAGGCAGAGCTGCCACCGGGCTGCCACCGGGCTGCCCCCCCCGCGGCCAGGTGGGCTGGGGGCCTGGGTCCCCCAGGACAGGCTCATGCCGCTCTTCTCTACCACCCTACACCTGGGGGTCTCTGAGAGACAGGCAGAGCGACCGGCAGACAGAGCAGAGAAAGTGGGGTGTGCCTGGTGGGGCTTGGGCCGGAGTGGGGGCTGCAGGGCCGTGAGCTTGGGGGGGCTCAGCAGGCAGGGAGGGACCCAGACAGGCTTGGGGGGGCCCGAGGAGAGGGAGAAAGGCAGCACTCGGCTCCCTAGAAGGGGTGGCGGGGATGCGGAGCTCCCGGAGCAGAACAGGCGCCTCCTGCCCCCCCCCCGTGCAGACTCGCGGTCGCCCAGCTGGACAGACAGGCCGACGGGGCCTGCGCCCCAGGGGCCCCGCCCGGCCCAGCCGGCCGCCACCCCCGCCAGGCGCCTGGGACCAGCCCACCCCGTCCCCGCGGCCGCTGGCCTGGGTGTCCACGGAACGGCCGGGCGCCCGGGGTCACCTGCGTAGGCCATGACGGTGACCAGCAGGGCCACGGCCGGCACTCTGAAGAGCGGGGGGCTGTTCCAGAAGCGGAGGAGGGTCAGGTGGAAGAAGAAGGCGCAGGCGCCCTCCACCAGCGCGCCGTGGGCCACGGAGGTGCGCAGGGCAGAGTGGCAGTGCGCCGCCATCAGGTTCTGCAGGACGTGCAGCTGGCTGAGCTCCCAGCCCCAGAAGAGCCGGGTCAGGGCGCCGGCCGCCCCCAGGCCCAGCGCCTGGGCCACCAGCTTCAGCAGCGTGCCGGGCAGCGAGGCCTGCGCCAAGAGGAACTCCTGCAGGGCCACGGCGGGGTTGGCCGAGGCTCCGTCGAAGGTGGCTCCGTGCGCCAGGAAGAGCAGGAAGACCAGGGTCAGCAGCAGGTCGGGGCCGAAGCCCCCCGCCCAGGGCCCGATCTCCACCAGCATCCGCATCTCCAGGCAGCAGGCGCCAAGCTGGGCGGCGCCCGCCGCCTCCCGCGCGAAGCTGGCGTAGGCGCCCGCCGGCAGCAGGGCCCTGGCCGCCCTCCTGGCCGCCTGGCACAGCGCAAAGGTGGCGAGGAAGAAGCAGAGGGACACGTTGAGGCCGGCCATCGCCCGGCCTCCGGAGCAGCTGCGCGGCCTGGCTGAGGCGTCTG